CGATTTCGGTGAGGTACCATGATGCAAATATTGAAGGATTCTCGTGAACTCACATTATTAAACTACTTGAATTAATAATAATAATAACGTTTTCAAAAGCACTGAGGAGTGTTAAGACTGAGTTAACACTGAGCACTGAGTTAACAGCAAGTTCCATTCGAATTACTATCATTTGATTGCAAATTGTTTATCGGAAGTGACATTTGAGCGGAAAAGAGGAAATTTGTTGGTTTTGTTAGTGTTTTGATTGTTTGTTGCGAAAACTTATGTGTGAAATTGTTGAATAATCGATTGTTGCGACAAGTTGAAGTGATGAGATAAAATGAGTTGTTAGCCATATGCAGAGCTTAGATGATAGAAGATGCGGTTGTATATGGCATAATCACGCTTATGCGTTCATGTGTATGTGTGTGTGTTTGTGCATGATGGAATTGTTTAAGAAAAGATATTGGAGATTTGGATAAGAACATCTGAACAAAGCAAATCCTGAGAGAGAACGACCAGATGCATAGGAGGCGGCATTGTGATGCTTTCAGATTAGTCGAGCAGATAGAGCGCGATAAGTTTAGAATGAAAAGAAATGATTCCGTTGATTTAGATGGCCATCAGGCGTCGTCACGTTTTGATTCAGTTTAGTGTCGCTCGCTTCATTGATTTTATCATATCATAGAGCATTATCGCTCGCCCTCTTATTCTCGGCAGTCTCTTCAATTAGCCCAAGTTATTCATTCTGAACGAATGAGGAACAATCTTCAGCTCGCATCGATTTCTTGAATCACTTCCGCACTGAGTTGAGTATCATTTCAACGAATGCCAAGTAACATTTCCAAAGATTCTAATTTAAGAATTGAATAACATTTCAAATGTTGCTACATCGTACCATTGTCAGTTATAAAGTTCTATTGGCTTAGGCTTCACTGCCGCCTTCTATGCTGTTCCTGCATTGAATCAATGNCATTTTCAATGCGTTATGTGATAGATATGTGCGCTTTGGGTCTGATATGAATGGTGAATCTCCAGTTATGTTCACGGCTGCAAATAAAATCAAATCTCCATGGATATCCGTTTGATGTTATGCATATATCCATTATTTATTTCATTTTGCTTATCTATTATTTGTTTCATTCGCAAATTTAGTTCATTTTGTTTTCATTCTATCTGCGTGTGCCTCATTTAGACGATCATATTTCTGGATGAGTTAAGATGTATCAATCCGATTTTAAGTGATAGGGCAATGGGAAAATTGCTAGGTGCGGATGGTGGTAGATTTCTTACATATACAACTTTCGTATAGTTGATAGTGAGAGGGACACACTTTATTGGGTAAATTGTTGACTGTCAACGTAGTTCAGAGCATATTTTGAGCAACTGATGAGATATTCATCGTGATTAAAATTGACATTCATCAACAATGCATAATTAGCGATATAGTCCGTTCAAGAATATCCAAATGCGATCTCAGTCACAATTTTATCCATTCTTACGCTTCATAACGACTCATGTTTTGGTTGCAAATTCATTATTTACTGATTGAAGTGCAACTTGCAGATTGTCAAATGATGAAGATAACAATGCTTTTGAGGTTATGAGATGTGCACATAGGTGATCAGTTTGAATAGGCATGATAAGTTTACTGCTATGTGTCTATATGACGATTGAATTGGCTAATACGAACACAACTGACGGGTATTCGAAGTATGGAATACCACTAAACTATTCGTTAGTTTTCTACTATTTCATCGCATTGTTTCCCTGAATCTTTCGCAGGACTCATCAACATGTTAAATTTATTTGATGTTAATTCATTGGTGTAACTATTGTTTAATAGCGTAGTTGTTGTGATCAGCATGTCAAAGTGTGCAATTAAATGTTCATCACTAAATTTCATTGTGGAAATTCTGATCATTGTTGATTGAACAAACTGAGAATCTATCACAAATTTGTCCTATTAATACCAAGCAATCACCGCTACTTTTAACACCACCTTCAGGTTTTCCTTGAGAGATGAGGCAGATGAATTCGTTGATAAACGCAGCACGAATGAACAAGACATCAAGGATTGGTGGCCACCTAAAGACGGCGAATGTATCGACGATGCACTAGTGATCACTGAACTGCTTAAAGATTACGATAAATTCAAGTTGCCAGGCGGTTCGAATGTTCAAGTCTCTGTTGAGGTTCGTATTATGCACGCTTTAAGTGTTCAGTGGTCAAATATTGATGGATTGCATTCATGGATTTGTTTATCTGAACGGCTTGATGTTTTCGTTGATCGGTATTGCAGATTTGGGTACAAGAAGTGTCGAAAATAATCGAAATAACAAGTGAATTTGAGTTGGATATTTATGTGACCGAAAAATGGATCGACCCTTCGCTTGCATACGATCACCTCAATCCTTGCAAGAAGTGAGTCAATCTTGATGATCATCTATCTTGCAAATGCTGAAAGCGCAATAGTTTTGTTAATTGAATCGATGAAAAATAAAATTGTAGCCTAAATTTAGCAAGATGCTTTTGCAATTTCCTTACTGAAAACGAATCCGAGTTCGCAGGCAGCCAATGGAATTGCAAAATGTTTTTTTAAAGTTTGGATTCCAAACACTGCCATATGAGGAAGTAATTCAATGAGCTCTCATTCATGGATTAGAGATATTGATCTTGAAATGATTCGGCAGTCTCACTGCATGTGAATATTTCACTTAGCGCAATCAAATGACAGTTTTGAAGGAATATGTCNTCCGATTTTACTTCGCATTTTAGGAGCACCGCTAAATAGACAGCAGTTTTGTTGATTATTTTTTGGAGTCAACTTATTCAGAGAACACAATTTTAGGATAAAACTCACAGGTCCATGCTCAAATGCATTAAGGACGTTTCCGATTGACCAGCAGAAGTGTATGCTTTTCTATGAATCGTTTAATCACAATTATGAACAAGTAAATTCTAATTTTCATTCATTCCACTGAACTTAAACTTGTATGCATCACTATTGCCAAATCCTGATACAGTGAACAATTGGAATTTTTCACGCTAAATAGATTTCCAATGAAAAATATTCAACTTATTCAGGCGTTTTGTTCATTACTCAGGCATGTTTTTTTTTCATTTATTTATCCGTCATTGCATAAGTCATTTGAGGTAGCGATGGAATGGACTGAAACAGCTCCACCAATAACAATTTTGAAGCAAAACATCACTTTACCTGACTATGTGCTAGTCGATTTCACAGCCACAAGTGTGAGGAGGGTGAGGATGTTCTGCGCGTTTTATAACATTTAATATTGACAAGCGTTTCTTTATCACCGTTTGTTTAAGAATACAACTTCGTTAATGTAACTGTATTATTAGGGTTCAGCAATATATTTTATTCAGTTGGAATTCTCATTGTTGTCGTAATGTTGAACTATATCGCAATATTCTGATGTGAGCATATTATCACTGTTTCATTTCACTGAATGTCCAATTATTCTTCAGCTTCACTGCTTTCAACCACATCCAAACAATGTCATAAATGCAATTTTTTCATGTCATAAACAAAGTGCGTTTATTAATTGATTTCAGCTGTATCCACCTGGCATATGGAATGAACTCATCGCCACATTCACTTTTCAACGTCTTTATGGATTTTATATCTTGCAGGTTCCATTTGAGACTTTTTCACATTTCATCCATACCGTTTCGATCTTCCTTGTCCACAATTCTTGGATTTGATTTCATGAAGATGAAAACTTATCAGTAGTTAATTTGAGAATTAGATTTGTTATGGGAATACAAGTTAGCTGATCCAATTGCTCGAAGGAAATCAATTGATCATGTGCGTAGCATCCATGAAAATGAGTGATTGTATGCAGAATTACTGGATGATAATCACTTAATAACGGTTATCGAGTGTCTTCAAAATACAATTGTTATTACAGGTATATGTGCCAGCGTACATTTCCGTCTTCATTTCGTGGGTTTGTTTCTTTCCTCTTCTGCATCAATCTATCATCGATTCAGCATTTTACCGAATCCACATTTTCTTCTGACTATTCGCATGCCCAATTCATTTTCACATAAAGACTTGAGATAGCATAAGGTCTCATTATAGTCCAATTAGTTTTGTCGCATCAATTCCGAACGTTAAGCTACATTATTTTAAGTCTACTCAGATCAAGATGACAATGAAGTAAATCAATACTGGACAGTTGAACAAAGGAGAGTGAAAATGTTTCAGGTATCCTTCTACCTCGGTCCACACAATATCCCTTCGAGGACAACTGTTGGCGTTAACTCGCTTCTCGCTTTAACGTATCAATGCACATTGTTTTATCATAATTCATCTTCATACTTGTATTTTTCATTTATTCCTGACAATTAATTGTATTCTACGAAAGAATTTCTCGTATGAATTTGTATTCCGAAAATTGCACCATTCGCATTCCGAAAATTTCACATTGATACAATCATTTTGAAGTTTCATTCAGATCGTTGAACAAAGTCATCGGAGTTTCTTGTTTGATGAACTAAAATAAACTTTCTTTGTCAGGTTTCAATTTGGATCCGTTGTGAGCAACTTACCAAAAACGAGTGACGTTAAAGGTTGCTAAATCACTCTTGATTGCCTTAGATTTTCTCAATTTCTTCAGCATTTTACCGCACTGTTAAGTTGACATTGAAAAGTGATACTTATGCTGTTAAGCATCGTATATATCTATTATTTAGATGCGTGTTGCATTGTTTTGTTGATTTTGTAGCAATGAAACATTCATACTAAACAAATGAGCTAAGAAAAGAGTCCATTCATCAGCATAGCGCATAACCGATCTCATCAGATTATATTTTGTGAAGCTTCATCAAATTTGTGCTCTGATTTATGATGAGCATTCAAATGATTTCAATTTGAAGCAATTGATGTGTGGATACTTAGTTCAATGGCATTTATATTCGCCTCATTAATTGAACTCGCTATTGTTGGGTTTATGACGCGGCGTGAATCTGATCTTGCGATCAAGTTAGTCGATATTTCTTGATGAACTTTTCCTTTTTACAGATTGGGAACGAGTAAATCTGCGTTCTTGTCCTGATTTCTTATCATTCACCGAAATTCTTTGAATACCAATTTAATAACAAAATAATACCGTCCAAATGTCGGAATATTGAAGAGTATGTAAATAAAAGAAATGAAACAGTCAAAATGTGGTGTATTCGTTAAAATCTCGGAATCTATGTTAAACCTCACGAATCGAGGATCGTATGAGTAAATATTCAGATCACTAGCTTTTGCGGAAGCATTTTCAAGATTTTATCAAGTGATTTTTCAGTTGTAAATGCTCCATTCTATGTATGAAGTGCAGCATTTGGACAGCGAGTAAAATTGATAAGGTTGTTTCATGATTAAATTTCATTGCTTAAAAGTAACTAATGTAATGTGAGATATTAGTTTGTAAATAGAATTCGAGTTTGTGACCACCTGTAATTTCTACTTTTCATTCAGTAGCTTATGATCTTTTGATATCATTTGGTATCAGGCAAATTTTATATCGAATAGTTAATCCAATTGTGCATAACGAATGTTGTCATATCTCCTCTTTTCAATCCATTTCTTAACTCTATTAGAAACACTGACATTAGTGCGCACGAGGAACTACTATGTGGAGTATCATTTCGCTCGTTCAATGTCAACTATGAACTAAACGATATTTAAGAAAAGCTTGCAATCGGCATGAGACATTGACTGCTAATGATTTTTGTGACATCTGAAACATCATTTGAAACTCATTTTTAGATGTCATCGATAATATTTCCAACGTTTTTCGTTGCCTTCAACATATGGTATTGGTTCTTCTTTTTAGGGTGAGTGATCACATTTTATTTTTCTTTTATTTTGCCTCTCATACAATTAAAACAGTGATTATGTTGAATCGTTCAGTTACTATTCGTTTGATTCGATTCGTTACCCAACTTGTTCTATTGTCAACTCGGTTTTTTTTCACATCAGTTCTAATGTTAGGAAATCAGTTGTCTTGATTTGCCTTCAGCGTATTTGTTTGTTTAGTTAATTGTGAAAAATTTTTAACACTCTTGACTGTCGATACCCATAAATTATCTTAGAACTATTGGTTAGATTTCTTTCCATTTTTATTTTCTTTAGATTCGATGCATGCTCAAAGCTTTTTCATGCCTGCAAACCGTTTGATGTTTTTCGTTTGCCTTTTCTTGATAACTTTCTTTTGAAGTGGAATTATCATTGTTGGCTTCTTCGATGTGTTTGATTAAAACGAACCTTGTTTTGCTTCAAATCATTATCGAAATGATGATCACTTTGGTATTTTGAGTTAATTTACAATTTCAGCGAAATCTTTCGACGATTAAGTAAGTGTTAAATCATTGTGTGTAACTGAAATAGCATTATAACTGCATATGTGGATGTTGAGTGTTTGCTACAGTAGGTTATTAGTGGTTCAGTTTCGAGTTATTAGTTCACTTGTAACTCCAACTTCATCATGAGATATTCTTCCTTTCGCTGTGTATGAAGTAGTTGAATACGACTGAACCCATCGATAGAACGTTTGTCCTCTGTCTTTCAACAAAGTATGATATTCTTAGGCATGTTCTGAACGTTCGTAGATGGATATAATGCATGCAGTATTAATACTAACCGAAGCATTTATGTCTCTTTCGTGGCGGTATTATGTTGATCCTCTTACGTTCTTAAAGATTTAGTCGTTGTTCTTCATCAACGTCTCTATCCCTTCACACATTATGTGGATGATCTCAGTGATTTTCAAATGTTCAACTTGAATGCACGCATGTTTTAGGGATGCCATATTTTGTTCATAATTCCGAAAAGATGCACGAACAATCATGGAACAGTGGTAACATAACCGGTCGATCATAATCCCACTTTGAGCGATAATCTCGTGATTTTGGAATCAATCCTCTTTGAAAGACGTATGCCAAACAAATCGTAGAACTTGACTGATTAGTCAGTGTCATCCACCATTCATCCATCCATCTCATAGATTTTCAGCATTTTCCCGAAAGATGTGTGCTTCTGCGCATTTGACGAAGATATCTGTCGTTAAATTTTCTTTCTCTATCATTTGCGTCGAAATAATTTAGACGATTCAATGGAAATGTTTTTGTGTCGTTTAAACAAATTCCTTTTAGCGCATTATCCGAATTCTTCAAAGTTTTTGTTCCCATTTAATTCACCAGCGGTAACTGATTACCAGTGCAAGCATGATTTTATTTCAAAGAAACTGTTCGAATTCATTTGAGCAATCAGTGGATCTCTTATCGTTCGTTCTTATGATTCATGTTGTATGCGTTTGTTCGATGTGTTTTTTTGACAATTTAGTACTCTTTTTATGAAATGTTTTTGAGATCTGAAGGGTTTTCGGGCTATTTGGTTATAAACATTTCATTTCAGTGCTTGGAAATTGCATTGTTTTCGTTTTGATTTTCACAGTGCCATAGTGTTTATGAGAAGAGCACAATGCGAGCATTTCTTTGCATGGGTAATTGAATCTGTCTGATGCACTATCACACTTCGACTGATTGAGTCGTCAATTCTCATTTAAATGACATTTGGGATCCGAAGGAAGTGATTTTTAATTCAGAAAGATATATAGGGATAAAATGTAATAATAAGGTCGAGTTGGATGAATATTTGAAACACGTAATATAATGAATAATTTAGAAACATGTAATAAATAATGACTTAC